GCCTTTGAGCAGGGTCCAGGGAAGGACTTCCACAAAGGCTGGCTTGTCTTGTAGAAGTCACCTTTCCTCCCTATTCCTGACCCAGGAGCATCATTGTGGCCGCAAGGAAGAGGGTGAGACAGAAACAAGGGATGATTTGAACTCTGGCTTCCCCGGCCCTTGCCCACCCGCAGGCCCTGTGATCTCAGGCCAGTTCTATCTTTGATGCTGGTCAAGTCTTCTGTTCCTCCCCCCTCCCCATGTCCCCCAAGCTTGGCTGAGGCCTGAAATAAGGGTAGGGGTATAGGTGGGGCACAGGGATCACAGCCTCCCTTTTGCCTGGTCTGGTCCTACCCAGCTGGCAGGTCTAGCCAAACGGCCAACTTTAGGCCACCGGATGCTGAAGGGGCGCGGAGGAGTGGGGGTGTGTTGGGGAGGATGGGCCTCCGCCTCCTAGCCAACATCACCCTAAATCTTCCCCTCTTAGCTTTGCTCCCACACAACCGCAGAGTCCTCCACAAAACCTACCGTGAGAGGCTGCAAACTTTTCCCTCAGCTGAACACCACCCCTCGTGAGGAGAAAATTAATGCCTTCTGCCTGGTGTTAGCATCATCTGACTGTTCATTTGGTCATTTGTCTATCATCTGTCTAGGCACCGAGGGTAAGCACCCTCGGGGTCGTGCAAGTGCTTACCCTACATCTCTGTCCCCCAAGATGACGTAGGCCCGTGGGGGTAGGGACAGCGTCTGTTCATGCTGGATCTTCAGTGCCTAGAGCACATGCTGGGTGCTCAATTAATATCTCCTCTGCTGAGTTTGTGTTCTCCACGGTGCCTGTCAGCCAAGCTTGGCAGAGTAAACATTCAGGGGTGTTTGACAAACAAACTGTGGGTAGAGAAGTCGGGTCCTCACAGCCGTGAGAAGCAGAGGAATGTGATGGTGGGGACTGCCATCAGGAGAGACCCTGAGAGGGGAAGGCCAGGGAGGGCGGAGCTATCGGCTCACTGACGGCAGGGGCAGAGCCTGCTTGTGGAAGCCTGAGGACCTCCTAGCAGAGGAGCCTTCTTGCTTCCATTCACTTATTCATTAGATTACGGCCTCAAGGCTTCGGGATGCTGGCCATTTGTACAGGTGACAGGAAAGAGCCTGAGGGCCCCCCCCCCAGGCTTTGGTCCCCACAGCAGATGAGGAACCAGCCCGCAAGGAGGGGATGAAAGTGAGAAGCCTCTCTGGTAAGTGCCGGTGAGCAAGGCCGTTGCCCTGGAGGGCCAGGCTGGGTCCGTGCCGGCCAGCGACAGCCCCCGACCCAGCCCCCGACCCAGCCAGACACACAGAAGGAGCCCAGCACAGATATATTTGAGCTGACATCAAGAAGCCTAAGGAATGGCTGAAATGGCAAATGTTTTGTTATATATTTCACCACACTAACAATTTATATATATATATATACAAAATACAGGGTAATATTTTTATTACCTCAGAGTGAGAAAATGTTCTTAAACAAAATACAAAAATTGTAAACCATAAAGGAAAAAAAAATCACTAAATTTGCCTGTATTTAAAAAAAAAAAAAGCCTAAGGAAAGAGCTGGCTGCAGAGAGAAGGCAGGGCGACTGGTTCATCATAAACAAGGGTCAGGGCAGGAGGTGGTTTCCAATTAAAAATATAGAAAAGAAACATAGATGGTTTCCTTTCAAGTTTAGAGATCGAAGCTCTGACAAGGGTATTAGTATGTAAAAAGCAGACTATGACTGGAAAGAGTACAGTCCAGGAGGGCCCTTTGCAGCGTTTCTGCTTCCCGCTTGGGAAGAATCCCCGTCAGCGAATTTCTTCGCGGCCCAAGCTGACCGGTGCTGGGGAACATGGCCCCTTCTACTTGAGTCAACCCCAACCACACCGCGCTTTGCAGCCAGGAGGACTCCAGGAACCAGTGACTCAGGTCACCGTGGAGTGTCAGTGACGCGTCTGAGGAGGTTTCCCAAGAAGTGACAGAGGAAATCTCCTTCGCTCTCCACAGCTGGGAAAGGCCTCTGCAGGCGCGGCTCTTTCTCTCTTTCCCTTTGACTGGGTGGTAGATTCGGATCAGCCGCGGCCCACGCCCGGGGATCACTTTCTGAAAACAAGTTACCCACTTCCTACAGGTAGCGCACATGCTGTGCAGGCGGGGGTGGGGATGAGTAAGGATGAAAGGAAGGGGGTGCGGGAGACTCTTTCTCTTTTGAACAAGGCTCGCAGGCTCCACACCTGCAGACACAAGCCCAGAATTCTCAACCAAAAGGGAGGTGCGCTGGGCGCACCCTCTATCTATGGCCGCTAAGACCCGCAGCAAGACAGGGAGAAACCGCTGATGCTCCCAGAGGCGAGGACCGAGGCAGTGGGGGTCAGGCCCCTTGCCATGGCACCCAGCTGGCACGGTTAGGCCATGCAGTCTGGCTGCCTGGGACAAGCACCGTGCTGACTTCCATTGCAGAAGTCTTTTTTTATCACGATTCATGAACAAGTCTCTCACTGATGGATATTTAAGTTGATTCCAATTTTTGCTATTAAGTGACCACAGCCCCTTTAAAAAAAAAGCTCAGTTTCTTTTTCCCAAACTTTTTCTGGTTTTTTCCTTGATTACAAGAGTAATACATGATTGTGGTAAAAATTCACACAACACAGAAATGTACAAAGCAGAAATGGAAATTCCCCCAGTAACTACCATCAACGGTTTGGAGTATATCCTTCCAGACCTTTTTTCTATGCATATGCAAACAAATATACCCAAAGGCCTTCATAATTACATTACTGTTGGTTGCCATCAAGTCGATTCTGACTTATTAAGAGAAAAAAAAATCAAATTTGCAGAATAAGATTCAACTTTCTATGTTATATTTTATATATCATACATACATATTTTGTATATTCTATATTAGAAGATTTTAATTTTCTGTTTTAAAGAAGTATGTGGAGAAAATCGGGAAGAACAGGAAACTTGCAAATTCTGATTTTACACATTTCTACAATGTTCTGTAATCGGATTTCTAAAATATCTTTTTACTGAATCTATATATAGAAAGTCTACATATCATGAGTGTACGGCTAGACGAATTTTCACAAGCTGAACTCACCTATGTGACCAGCAGCCAAATTGAGAAGCAGGACATGATGACCCCAAACTTCACGTGGCTTCCAGTCATCACCCATGCACCAGGGGTAACCACATCGTGACTCCTACCAGTGATCATGAAGATGGCATAGGACTGGGTAATGTTTTGTTTTGTTATACACAAGGTCGATGGCAATTAACAACAACAACTATATGTTTTCCTGTTTTTATCTGTACTTGAATTTTAACAGTGACCCTGTGTTGCGTTTAAAATAAGAATAATCAATAAAGATGTTGTTAAAATACATTCATACATGGTGACCATCATTTGATGTCAGTGTTTATGGGTCTAGCTCATTCCTTAACAGCTATGTGAGCTCCGTTATAAGACTGAACCACGATTTATCTAACTGTTCCCTTTTGGTGAACATTTGGATTGCTTCCAATTTTTGGCTAGTAGGAACAATTTGATGCATATCTCTTTGTGCATGTCAGTTTATGATAAGGATAAATTGCTTAGAAGTAGAACTGCTAAACAAAGGGTAGCTAGGTTAAATTTTTTTTATATTTTGCCATGATGGCCCCCCAGAAAGAAGTAACTGCTCAGTTTCTTCTTCAAAACAAAAGTCAGGTGCTGGGTGCAGACTTCCTCACCGCAGCCCCTGCTGCTGGCAGCCCAGCTTGCTCTGGGCTCCTGTGGCCACCAAGTCGAGCCTGCCTCCGCAGACGCTTGCTACACAGAGAAGAGGCGAGGGGCATAGACCACCCCTGCCCCAGCTCAGCCCCCGGAGAGTTTGCAGACAAGTCAGTGCAATTGTTACGATGCCAGCAGGGAGATGCAGTTAAACATCTGTCGTGGGACGTAGGGCCAAGAGGCCTGGTTTGCTGCAGCTGCTGACTGGGTGTGAGCCTTCAGGGAGGGCAGGTCATGCTTGAGGGCCTTTGTCTCTCATCTCTCACCCAGGACATCCCAGAGTAAGGAGCCCACCTTCAAAATGAACCCTGGTCCAGCCTACCCCGACTGCTCAGGTCTTTTCACCCTTTTATAGCTCTCCCCACCTCCCTAGGAAACCCCACAGCTGAGGCCCTCCCCTCAGCCTCGGAGACAGACTGCCCCATTGTCTCAGAGCTGCTGGACAGAAAGCTTGTCCTTACTGGGAGCACTCCCACATCTACCCCGTCTCATGTCCACCCACCCACCTACCTCTGCTGTGCCCTCAACTCCCCAAGATGGCATCTCAGATGCCGGGAGATGGCTACACTCCCCTCGCCTCAAGCCATCTTTCCTTTCCTGGTTTCTGAAACAGTTGTTCCCCTTCTGTGGCTGCCCCTGAACATAACTCGTTTAGCAATGACCTTCTTACACTGCACCTCCCAGCCCTGACCTGGCCAGGAAACGCCGGGGACTCTGTTCTTCACCGAGAGCAGACATGGCACTTCTATTGCTGCAGCCTAAGATGCATCCTTTGTGGCTCAGTGGCTCCTATGTGGCTAAAGCCCAGGGTGAGGTGCTAAGCCAAGACCCACCCAGATGACCTTTTCATCTTCACTCCCCACCCCAGCTCAGCATTTTCTTTCTGTGGCGGTCAACACTGAGAGATAATGAAACATGAATGGACGTGTAGCCACTGAGAGACCCTGATGCCTCTCACCTTCTCTTTGGTGCAAGTCTCCTTGAAGCCAGGAGTTGCTGGGGGTCAACCCTCAGTAGAAGTGGACAGGTGCTAGTGCAGGCAGCTCGGAGGTGGGCCAGAAGGGGGTCTGCTTTTCTGTCCAGGTTGGCCCTTGGGGCACCCGCTGCATGGCCTGGATGCTTCCCAACCTCTGCAGGCCGTCTCTGTACCTACAATGTGGGCTACAGAGTGTGTTGTGGAGGCAAATGAGGATCTAGGATGAAAAGTGGGCCCAGGCGAATGCTATCCTTGTTATTCTTTTTGAGCTGAACATCAACATCTTTGCTGTAGACAGGCGTTTGTCCTTTTACTACACAGGAGCCATCTGCATCTTTTACTTAGGACTTTATTTTTACAGCCACAGCACTTTATTTAAGAGAGCAGAAAGTGAGAGAAGAAGTATACGAGCCATGGGAAAGTGGGTGTGAAAGTTGAGAAACTTCCTAATGGGAGACGAAGTGACATCCCCATGAGACACTGCCTTGGAGCCATGTCAGCCTCTCTCAGGAAGCCCAATCCCACTCTGGGCCTGGCCTCTGGGGCATTCTCTGTGAGGATGGTCAATCCCGGCCTGGAAAAAGAAGGGGGAGCCATCCCAGTGCCCCCTGCCCCATGAAAAACCCAGGGCCCGCAGTCACTGCCTACCAGGGCAAAGCAACTTGCGAATGGAGGCTGGATGGCCGACACCACAGTCCCGGCCCAGCCCATGGCAAGTACAGAAACCGGAAGTTGTGTCGATGCGGCATTTCCCACTCCATCCTCCAGAACACGCTGTGAGTTGCAGAAAGTGCCCTGGGGCCCTGAAGCCTTCTTTTTAAGATCCTGATGACCAACAAGTTGCGCTAGGCATGAGGGCCACAGAAAAAACTTGCAGTAGTTAAAGGCAAGCAGCTTCAGCAGGTCAGCGAAACCTCTATGCTTCAGTGTGTCCCTTCGCTCTCGTTTTTCCAGATGTTGCTCATCACTGACCAATGCAGGGCACCAAAAGCGTATTCTTTGTTCATCTGCAAAACCTGAAAAACACCGAGTAGTGAAACCACTTATTTTTGGGCAAATCATACTGAATTTCCTGTAACAGAGACAAACGGCCAATGAAGATGCAGGGTTCCCCTGGGACCAAAAGTTTTGTGTTAGTGCTTTTAAAAAAAACTGTTGCCCCATTTGTAGTAACTGTTAAATGAGAAACTATTTTGTTCTGTAAGCCTCCATCTTAAGTGAGAATAACAGCACAATTGGAAGAGCGTAGTCAATGTCACTGAACTGTGTATGTAGAAATGTTTGAAATGGTGTCTCTTTGGCTATGTGTATTTTCGCCAAAAAAAAAAAGAGGTTGAGAAGTTAGAGGGTTGATATGTTGTGGGGCTGTTAACCAATGTCATAAAACAACATGTGTACTTCTGTTTCATGAGAAACTATTTGTTCTGTAAGCCTTCGCCTGAAGTACAATTAAAAAAAAAAACAACAAAAAAAACTGTTGCCCTCGAGTAAATTCTGACACTTGGCAACCCCATGAGCAGAACTGTGCTCCATAGGGTTTTCAATGGCCGATTTTTCGGAAGTAGATCACCAGGCCTTTCTTCAAAGGCACTGCTGGACGGACTCCAACCTCCAATCTTTGGGTTAGCAGTGGAGCACATTAACCATTTGCACCACCCAGGGACTCCAGTAGTTTTTTAGGGCCTATCTTTGTCATTAAAAAAAAATTAAAAGCTCAAGGAAAGCAGCCCAAAGAACTGTAGCTTTGAGTACCGTTACTTCCTGCAGCACCTTCTAAGACAAGCTATTCACAAATGCACACCAAGGGCCAGAAGGAGGTGGCCTGCAGGTGGGATAATTTTCACAGGGCAGTTAGAAGCTGGTGAACATCTGCCCCAAATCACTACCTGAATTTGGAACAGCTGCTCTGTGAGGCCGATAGACTCTTACATCTGCACCTGGATCATGATAGCAAAACCAGAGGTGGTTTTCAAACTCTTTTTAAGCCGCAGACCCTTTTGTTCAAATGACATCTTACAGGGAAGTGTAAACACAGCAGACAAGTGAAGAGGGTGAGGGGCTCAGGGTCCACCTGGACCACCCCAGCCTCTTCCCCAGCTTGGTTGGTCCTCAGAACCCCGGGAGTTTCCAAAGCATGAGGTCCTGTATCCAAAATTGGCACCAGGTCATTGTGGAACAAGTTAAAAAGAGGCGTGGGGTGCGGGGCAGAACCTCAGGCATAGTACCCTGCGGGGGACTCATTCTCCATAAAAGGTCACCATGAGCAAGATTTTGAACAGACCTTTCTGGAGGTCTAGACTTAGACAAATACACCAAAGTCGTGATTTTTTAGGTAGAGGCTAGTTTCTAAATCCAGCACGTAAGCTGAAAATTGCACAAAGTCAAAATCATGATTGAAAATTGCTCATAGAATACCGCATACATGTTTTAGTATTTATAGCCTGTGAATTATAACACACAAATATATGTGCATAATAATATAGAATATGTAATAGTGTATATATGAAAATTATAATTGTAGAGTATTTTAAAATAGTCTTTGTTTCTTGGCTGATGGGCTTATAGAGTTGAACTCCTTGTTGTTTTTAGGGACTCGTCAAGCCAGCCCTGTCTCCTGTAGACCTTGTATATAACAGCACAAATCGCGCCCACTCCTGTGCCGTCCACGATCCTTGGTATAAGGGTGAACTGACATAAGTTAAATGAGCTTGTGCTTCAATTGCACAGGACCAGGTACAGAGCAGTTTACGGTATTCCCTCAGTAAGTCCTCACAACAGCCACGAGGCTGGTGCTGTGATCCCATTTTACAGATGAGACAATGGAGGCTCAGAGAGGTTAAGTGACTCGCCTATAGTCACAGGGCTGGCGAGTGGCAGACAGGACTCGAGCCCAGAGCTGCCTCATACTGTGGGCACCAGGCCCGTTGCCCTCTTCATTCTAAAGGCGTGTGCATTTTTTTTTCAAACACTTACATATAGATGGGGGTTGTTCTGAGGATTGAATGGAAGCAATGAAGTAGATATATGAGAAACAGTCTTTATTTTGAGGAAGAAAGATCAAACTCAAGGACAAAGCCAGGGGCCCAATGTGGGGTCAGAAGCCCTAAAGGCTGGAGCAGCTGGCGGCCTCTGCCCCTAACTGTCTCTTGCTACTGCATCTGCTTGCCCATCTTAGTGGGCCTAAGGGGTGATTTTCAGCCCTGTATTTGTGACTCAGCCTGTGGGTCTGCCAGCTCCTGGGACCCAGGTGGGGCCAAGAGCAGATGAGGGGACGACGGCAGCCCACCACCCTACACCAGCAGCTTCTGGGAAATGTAGTGACTGCTGGCTGAGAATGCTGGTCTTGGAGTGAGCAAACTTTATCTTTAAATCCAGTTCTGCTCTATACTAGCTCAGAGGTTTTGAGCAAGTCTCTCTCCTGATCTGTAAAACAGGGATAATAAACCTCCCGGCTGAAGCAGGACCAAGTCTGACAAAATAATGGGTGGGACAGGGTTTGGGATACCCCACGTACCGTATTCTATGCAAGCAAGGGTTAATTGCTATCATCAGGAAAGCTAAAAACTAAATCTTAGCACTGGAAACATACTTAGATGATGAATCAGGGTTTCTATTTAAGCTGTTTCTGTGCCTGAACTCTCTCATCCATTTATTTTTACAGTCTGTGTTGTTTGGAAGGCGTTGCCTGAGCTTAGGCTCCTGGATGCAGACGGAGGCTGTGAGCAGCAGCAGGGGGTGGGAGCCCAGGGCCACATCAGGGCCACATCAGGGCCACATCAGGGCGACACCAGGGCACAGCCAGGGCCACACCAGGGCCACACCAGGACGCAGCAGGGTCACACCAGGGCCACACCAGGGCCACACCAGGGCCACACCCAGGGCCACACCAGGGCACAGCCAGGGCCACACCAGAGCACAGCCAGGGCCACACCAGAGCCACACCAGGGCCACAGCAGGGTCACACCAGGGCCACACCAGGACGCAGCAGGGCCACAGCAGGGTCACACCAGGGCCACACCAGGACACAGCAGACTACTTTTCTAAGGCCCCAAGCACTTACTGTTTCATGAAGCGAAGCCGGGCTCTCCTCCGCAGGACTGAAAGAAGAAAACAGGGGCACCAGTCAGGGTGGGCTGTAGGCCATCAGTGCCAAGCCCCAGAGACCAAGGAGGGTGGTGACAGGGTCAGCTCACACCTCAGACACTTCCAGGTACCTGGCTCGGCCCTGAATACACTGTAACTCCCTCAATGACCACAGCAGTCTGTGAGTTGGGTCCTCCTAGTATTGCCTCCATTTCACATATGGGGAAACTGAGGCACAGAGTGAGTAACTTGCTCAAAGTCATATGACTAGTGAGTGGCAAAGCCAGAACTCAAGCCCAGTTAGTCTAGCCTGGAGTCTGTGCCCTTCCTGACAGGCCGTCTTAAATTAGAGTATGCGCACTCAGAGGGCGCGCAAAGCTTCCCACTGGGATGCAGGAGGAAAATAGAAACATGTCTGTTTACATGTTTACCTCATCCTTTGTTACTTTTATTTTTGAGGCACATTTAACAATATATGTAATATATTAAATAAATACATTGAACTGCAGTTTGTATTCACAATTTTTTTTTTTTTTTTAACTGATAAGGTCCATGATCAGTAAAGTTTTCAGGCTCCTGAACTTTCATGGGGTAAAGAGATCCCTTTGTGGGGGCAACTGTCTGTCAAAGAGTGTGCACAGGTACGTTTCTTTGTGGAAAGGGTCCATTGTTGTCGTCAATGTTCAAAGGGCTCTATGAGCAGAACAGTGAAGAACCACTGATCTAGTTCCTGCTCCTGGTACTCTCCCCCCACTTCATAGACCCCCCAAACAGGAAGTGCCAAGGTCAAGGCGGCACAGGCGAGTAGCAGAACCAGGGGTGGAGTCTGGGCCTCTGAACTCTCGGGTGAGCAGCTGTGCGGCCAGCCCTCCAGCGCTCAGCCTTTATCAGGAGCTCCGTGCGTGCAGAGCCTGGCGAAGCCCAGACGAGATGACTCAGTCTCTGGAGTAGCTGAGGGCGCTGCAGCCATCTCTGAGCTTCCCTACAGCCTCTTCGATGGGGAGGATTTCTAGTTTCTGGGGACATAACTCAAACCCCACCCTCAATCTCTTCTGTGCACTGAGCTTCTAATCCCAGTAAGTTCCCAATTATTGAGCACAGACCACGTGCCAGGCACTCTGGGCAGGACTTTCCAGGCGGCAGCTCTAGGAGGTAGGTAGCATTGTTATCCCGGGGTGAGGCAGCTGGGGCTCAGAGAGGTCAGGGTGCCTGCCCGAGGTCGCTAGATCAGGGAGCAGGAGGGTTGGACCAAAGCCAGGTTAGTCAACTCCACAGACAGGGTGGTCTCCTTGGCCTCAGGCCAAGAATCAAGAATCAAGTTCCTCTCATGGGTTCTCTGTGGAAACTTCCACCAGGCTGCCGTCAGCTCTGCTCCCCCAGAGAAGAAAGTACCCTCAGGGACACCTCAAACAGCAAATGGGTCAACATGGCATCCCAAGAGGACTCACAGTACAGGTGGATGGCCACACTCAAGGACACCAGCAGAACCAGGACGCCAGCCACCAGCAGGCCAAGGGTGAGGGAGCTACAAGACGAGCCTGGGAAAGATACATGAGATGTGCTCATTACGGAATATTTGAGAGACGCAGATGCAGATGAATACAAGGAAGAAATCAGTTGGAAGCTCTGCCTCCCAGAGAATATCACCACTAGCATTTGCTGTATTTCCTTCTAGTCTTTTTCTATGCAATTTAAACATCATTGAGATAATTCTACATGTAACATTTCATGTCCTGTATGCAAATTTAAAGGAATTAATTAAACTCAGTAGCTATTTACATTCAAAGGAGGTAGATAATTTTCCTGCCTATAGTGGGATTTTTACTTTAAAAGAAAACTTTTAATTTCACAAGAAATAGCTGAATATATTTTCATTGTAAAAGATTCTGGTACATGGTGACAGTGTCCCTTGACATCCTAGCTCCTTCACAGAAGGAGGTGCCATTATTAATTTGGTATCTTTCTCTTTGCTTTTACACATACGTATATTTACATAGACACACATAGCTTTACAAAAAATATACAGTGGATTATACCGTACAAATTGTTTGGCAACTCCTTTTTTATCGTCACTTAACCATGTCAGTGCATTCTTTCTACCAGCAGAGTAGCATTTGACAGTTTGGTTATTCCCTGTGTTTTGCTTTTACCAATAGCTCTGCAGAGAACATCCTGGCACATGTCTCCTTATGCAGGTACCTTACTGAAGCAGATACTGAGGATGGGAATTGCTAAACCATAGACTATGTACACTTTAAATTGTAATAAAAATCTGAACTAGTTGCCTGATGGAGTCAACTCCGACTCATGGTGACCCCATGTGTGTCAGAGTAGAACGGTCTTCCATGGGGTTTTCAGTGGCTGATTGTTCAGAAGTAGATCACCAGGTCTTTCTACTGAGGTGATTCTGGGTAAACCTGAGCCATCAACCTTTCAGTTAGCAGCGAGTGCATTAACCGTTTGCACCCCCAGGGGCTCCAAATTGTAACAGGTATTGTCAAACTGCCTTCCTTCCAAAAAGGCTTCACTAATTTACATTCCCACTAGTTCATGACAGGCTAACTCCCCACACATTGCCAATCCTGGATGTTACCCAAGTTTCTGCGAATCCAGTGAGTAAAAATTCTATTTCATTTCAATTCCTTGCTTACTTGTGAGTATCAGCATATTTCCATATACTTACTGACCACAGGTATTATTTTTCTCCTATAGGTTTCCTATCTGTCCCTTTGGCCACTCTGCATGCTGTTTAAACAGCAGAGTTTGTATTATCAATGCTGTGAATCCTAATGACACCTTTCATGCCCTGCAAACGGTCCCTGTGAGTAGCTGAGGGGTGGAACGAGGACCCATGAGTGAAAAGCACAAGGATGCAGATTTGGGTTGAGGTATAAAGGAGCCTGCAAACAATCAGAAGACGTTTTGGATGTCAGGGAAGGGAGAGAATTTTTCTGAATACCTATGATGAGCCAGGTAACTAACTGCAAGCTTCCATCTTGTGAAAAAGGTATTTTACGGTCGAGAAAACCAAGATTCAAAGTGGATGAATTACATGCCCAAGGCCACCCAGCTACTAAAAGAAGGCCAGGATAGGAGCCCAGGTCCTCCTGGTTCTAAAGCCCCTGCCAGCTGCACCACGGCAGCGTGAGAGGCCGTGGTGGGGCAGGGGAACAAGCCGAGGCCGGAGAGGGTGATCCCCCGCTGGCTGGAAGGTTGAGCGATGAGAAGTCCTTGAAAGTCCTTCCCGCCTCTGAGATGCCAAGGGTTCCTGCCTGCTTCCCTCCTACCCCCATGTTCTCACAACATGGATGAACCTCAAAGACACTACGCTGAGTGAAACAGGTCGGACATGAAAGCCATATATTGTACAAGCCCACTGATCAGAAATGTCCGCAAGAGGCAAATCCACAGAGAGAGAAAGTAGGTCCGTGGTTGCCAGGGGCTGCAGCTGGGATTAACTGGAAACTAGCACATGGGGTCTTACTGGAGTGATGGAGATGTTCACAGCTGGACTGTGGGGATGGTAAATTTACCAGAAATTATTTTGTTTTCCACTTAAAATAGGTGGATTTTATGGTATGGAAATTATATTCATTAAAGGTAAAAACAACCAAATAACAATAATGGAGGTGGGGGCAGGCTGCCGGGGAGTGGGGAGCAGCACGGCCCCCATCCTGGGGCGGCAGGGTCAGAGCGGCTTCCTGGGGAGTGGTCGTAGCTGAACTAGAGGCCAAAGATGCAGCCACAAGTCCATGCGGACGCGTAGTCACTCATCCAAAACGTGACTCCAGGAAAAGCTGCCTTCCAGTAACGGCCATGTCACACCAGCGACTCTCCTAGCCTGACCATCCTCGCCTTGCTTGGGCCTCGGGGTCTCCTGGGTCTGGATCTCACCACCCTGCTCCTGAGGGAACAGTTTGGAAATCATCCCCCAGAACTTCTGGTGATATCTCAAGGGGCAGCCCCACACCTTGGGGGGCATGCCCCTCCCCATGGCGGCCCTGTGGGTTCATTTATAACAAGCTCTGAGCTCTGCCTGGGTGCTCTGACAAGCTCTGTGTACCTTATGTGTAGTATCTCATTTAATCCTCATGACCTCCCTGTAAAGGGCATTATGACACTCATTTTACAGCCGAGGAAATGGAGGTTCAGAGAGGCTGAATGATTGCCAAGGCCACACAGTACAGGCAGCTGTCGACAGGGATCCAGGCCTACATCCGGCTGACTTACTGTTAGGCTACACTGCCTCCAGCTCCCTTCCCCAGGGCACCTTCCACTTATTCCCACTGACCCCACTCCACGTGGCCACCCTCACACACATCATGGCTACTCTTGCTGTTCGTTGCCCCAGCTCATGGCGACCCCATGCGTAATGGAATGAAACGTCTGCTAACGTATTTGCATTTTGCCCTGGGATTTTATAGAGCGTTGATTATAAGAAATTTGAAGACCTTTTTCACATCATCCATAGCAGTGTTGCTGAATTCACTATTGTTCAGTGGTCCTTACAGGGGGATGGACAGAGCAGGTTGCTCCTAGGATTCTGTGCTAGGACGAAGGCCCATCTTCCAATGCCCAGGGTTGTTCCTTTGTATGGCGACATGGACAGGGAGGTGCCGTGTGACTTGGAGGAGTCTCTTTGCTCACCCCTGCAGAGCCACAGCGCAGACCCAGTGTTGGCATCCTCATTTTAATGCTTGGTGTTCTTTTTTATTGTGCCCTGCCTGAGCTCTCTAAGGGAAGTTGTTAGGGTGTAAATGCTTCATAAAATGAGGTCACTCTACCCCACCTTTTTGTTCCCAAAGACTCTGCCTGGGACCTCAGGTGGCAGCTCCCTACCCCCTCTCCTAGACCCTGCTAGGGGACCCTCCTCAGACTCTTTCTGGTACTTTCTACAATAAAACCTGTGAAAGCCGGAACCCGTCAGAGAAGGAAACCTCAAACAGTTTCACTAAAATGAGTGATAGAAAAATGGTAAGACTGCACCCTGTCAAAGGCAGAAAACTTTGGAGAAACACAAGGCCATCCTGCTGAGTTCCGGCTCTCACAGGCTTCACTGTATGTTTAAGACAAAGCAGTCCAAGTGGCACGAGGTAGCCTCAGCGTGGCTTCTTGTGGTTCGTTCTAAGGGTAGGAGCCTGGGACACTCTCTGTTTGTTACCAGTAACTTTTGGGGGTAGAGGTCAGTATTTTTCCA